AGGCATTCTAAAATGGCACATAAACCATTTGGGCTCTATCAGTCTGCCCCCTGGCATCTGCAATGCAGGGAGAACTATCAGCTGGAGTCCCAAAGGTCGTTCTGGCTCAATGGCTCCTCAGCTGCACCTAACCCATAAGTGGTTAAAGGCTGGGAAGGAAATCACTCTCCCGTATCAGTGAAAGGGGGGGGAGGAGATTTAATGAGTACCCTAAGCACATCTAATGAACCGGAGATGTTAACAGCTACTGCTACCGTTGACAATATGTAGAGCTAGGAACAGACGAAGTTGATGAGGCTGGAAGCGGTTTGACTTCTTTCAGCATTATCAATAGCGAAGGATGGACATTATAGTGAGCATGGGGCTGGACACTATGGAAAGAAATCCATTCTCTCAGAAGAAGAAATGTTCTAAACATTAGCTACATGGTCATATGATAGAAAAAAAATGTTGGTAGTGCTAGATGTTTAGTGCAATGGTTTTCAAAAGTAAACTTCATCAAACTGATGGACAGATAACAGATTACAAAGAATTAAGGAGCTACAATGTGCATTTTATATCTTAGAAATGAAGTGAAAGTGAAGTTAGTGAAATAACAAAACTCCCTGTTCCCAGCCACTCCTATTAACACTCTGCTGTAGAGTACACATTTAAGCTGCTGTAGATTTCAGTCTACCTCAAGTCTGCCCTAATTAGCTTGATCATGTCAGGGCTTAAGCAAGGAGCAACAATATGGTGTCTTAAGTGAGAAGATATTACAGCTTATCCTTTCATCTCTCTTTCAGCTAGCAGAGAAAGAAGAAATGTTTTCTCTGCAATCTATGAGAGCTATGAACTCCATCACATATAGCTGCAATGTTTTGGCTGTGGGGAAAAAGTTATTAATTAATTTAAAACATAATAATATTATTTGCAACAAAAACAAATCATATTTAAATACCCTTTCAAGAAATCTAAGGTCGCTTTACACAAAAGTCAGAGCTCAAAGGCCTCAGTGAACAGGTGGCATTTGAACTGTCTGTTGAAAATACTCAGGGATGGAGCCTGTTCCAGAGAGATGGAAGCACTGAAGCCTCTTTCCCTAAAAGACTGGCGTGAGAAGTGCAGACTACGCCTTTATCTGCAGAATGCAGAAGAAAACATGAGGTCTAGAAGAGAAGATCAGAAAAATGCTGAGGAGCAAAAGCATGTTGGGATTTGTAAATGAGGAGATGGATTTGATAAGAGATACGGAACTCGACTGGTAGCTTAGCCGTCATCATCACCAAACTCCAGCACGTAAGTGTTAGGGTGATGTGTTTAGGTAAGAACTCCGGCAGCTGAGTTCTGAACATACTGCACTGTGTCCAAGGCTTTGATAAACAGACCAAGCAGGAAAATGTTACAGTAGCCCAGGTGGGAAGTACTGAAGCTATCAATGATGGTTTCAGCTGAAGAGTCAGGGAGCACTAGCCAGAGCTTGGACATATTTGGGTGGCACTTTTAGAGATGGATTTAATATGTAGTAAAAATTAAGGAGAGTGGAGGAAGCCCAGGATGACACCAAAGTTGTGGAAAAGGTGAGATAGAGGTGCAGATTGGCCACTTTTCCTGGCTGTGACCTGGGAACCACAACCACAGTTCAGTTTTATTATTGCTCAGTTTGAGAAAATTGGTTGACATCCAGTTTTTGATGTCTACGAAGAAGCTGACAAGAGACAAAGGAAGACCTTACCAAGGTGCTTCTCTGGTCTGTCACAGCAGATGGTCGGTGACCCTCCCTGTCCTCAGGACCAATAATCAAGACTGCGAGGCTGAAGCTCATGCGTGCCCAGAACACGACGCTTTCCAGCCCTGGAGGATCCACATTCTTTTGCATACTTTTGATATTTTTTAAAGAAGTGTGTCATGTTACTGGATTTTGTTGGGACCTGTCGCCACTATATCTTGCAACCTGTCTTTATCTGTGCTTGGTCTAATCATAGAAAACTGACCACTTCCACACTTTTGATGATGTGTGACCTTTCTTTGGTATTATCTCTTCCTGAACGGCGGATACATTTTCCTTCTTGGCTTTACTCATCAGGACATCCTGGTTATTGTCATTTTTTTCTCTCAGAAGACCAGCGTTACACCAACCTTACATACTGCCTGAAACCAAATTATTGTTTGTCTCATCAAATATTAAAGCCTACATTTATCATCGCCATTGACATTTTTCCCCCTCTATAAAATATTGTGATCATTTTATTGCCCAGCACTGCTCACACCATGTTGGAAAGTTCCAAAAATATCCATTATAAAAAGGAAAGCTACCATTTCTCCATTTTTTTTACATTCAATGTTCAATGGCATTTACATTTAACCCTATTTTGAATTTGTTTAAAAGATAAAGGAGGAGTTTGATTACACCTTGCAGAATGTCTGACTTTCATGATGTAATAATGTCCTGTTTGTTTTTACGGTGGTAACTGTTTGCAGTCACCACCGTAAAAACAAGCATTCTTCTTCCAACTGTCAGTATGCAGGTCCCACATTACAACACTCCAGTGGGTGTTTGTATGTGTTTATCCGCTGTCCCTGGCAACATATTGAAATTCACGCTGAAGTTAGAAAATGACATCCATCCTCTGACTGTGTGAAATGTTGGTTATTTTGTGGGGGTTTTATTGTAACAAGGACAGCGTGTAAGTGAAGACATCAGTGACGAGTGATTCTCCAGGAGCAACTGTATGGTCTGATGATCTGTTTCTCATAAAGTAAGGACGATGAGCATAAAAACCACTTATTTATGTGGGTTTTCTTTACAAGACGGCAACTGGCTGTTATTTTTAAATGAACATGTAGAAATCATCATCAAGCAAAAACGGAAATCCAAGCACAGCTCTGACCTCTAGCATGTGCAGCTTTTCTCCGAGGACATCTCTTTGCTTTGTCAGAAGTAAGTTTTTGTCACACATCTTACAGAAACCCCAATTATACACATTTGCAAGAAAATAAGAACAGCCAACCATGAAGTAATATAGCACATGATTCACAGCCTTCCACAATGTAAGCAAATAGGCAGACAAGTCACTTAACATGAAAACGCCCTGTCTGCTCCTTCACTTCGTCACGGTTCACACAAGAACAAATAAAACTGTGGCAGCAAAAAAACATCTGTCTTTCTTCCCATGATACAAATATAAAGCTCACTCCCTCAAACTTCCCCAAAACCGAATCCTTCCCCTGAATCTAAACTGCCTGCAAAGAAGACATTTCCTCTTTTAGGCCGGTTTTGGGAAACATTTGGAGCTCCACCGATGACTTCATCTTTGGACAGAGGATCTTATTAGAGGGCTATCTTTATAGTTTTTACAAACAAAGACAAATAAAATATAAAACTGCCTTAGTATGGCTCCTGAACAGTATTACACACAAGCTGCAAGTGATTTCAATTCCTAGCAGCATTAAAATAAACTTTTACTGAATTCTATCAGGAATTGCACTGTACAGTATTACCACGCAACAATGAGTTATTACGGACTCAAGTATGATGTCCTCTGTAATGGCTTGCCCATATCAATAAAGTCTTAAATATTTTAATTATTGGTTTAGTGAGGTAAAGTAGCCACCAAAATCTGACTGTAAAATTGTGGGTGCAAATCAATATTTACTATAACAGATATGCTAGGGTGATAGCCGGTGCTCAGCTTCTCATACTTCTTACTTCAAAAAGTATTTACAGAAAATGTTGTAAAATCTTTCAGGACTTCACAAAACATTTTGAACATTTAGCCAGTTGAATATTATTAAAATACTTAGACATATGGTACTGCGATAGCAATCAATACTGGCCTATACCTGTTTTTAAACCAATATACTGATGCATGGCTTCTAGAAGAGCATATTCCACCAACAGCTAATAACTGGTTAAAGTAGATATATGTGGCAGACAGTCGTTTATTTTGTGCTTAAGCCTCTTAACCCTCTAAATGTGCAAATGCACAGAGTTTCAGACTTTATATATGTAGAATCAATAACTTTATGGGAGGGATGAACCCTCCCCCAATATCACTTATATCAAATAACTGGACTAAAAAAAACATACTACTAATAAAAAATACCTGAAATGAAATTACCAGTTTGATGGCACAGCTCAAAGCCCCTCTGACCTCCAGTTCTGATGCTTTTGTTCTTAAGCTGTAGGTTTCCCAGGTATCCCAGACTGGCATTACAACTACATGTTGAACAAATTGGGCACTGAATAGATTAGCACAAGGCCAAATAACACCAAGTAATGAGCCCACTATGGATAACTTGGTGTTAGTTGGTGGTGGATTACTTCTACTTACTGATAAATTACAACAAATCCAAAATCCATACTCTTTGACAAAGCGCAGATTTACTGCTAGAGCACACTTTAGTCTTCTTCAGGACTCCAGACTACGTGCCTTCCTCTGACAAACCAAAGAATGTATACAACCTACCATAGTAGGAAACAGCCAGCATCCACACTGACTGAGCAAACACTGTGAAGCTCCTGAATTAGGTCCCTTTTCTCCATTAGGGAATGAGTCTTTCAAACATGTAGAGCTGCAGGGACAGAGCATCTGTGTACATGTTTTACTGAAAGCGTATATTTCCTGAGAGGATTAACTGTTCATTAGTAGTAGCTGATGAAACAGACGGACATCATAACTGCTTGTTTATTCTATACTGACTGCTTCATTTTTCACACAACCTCACTGCTGTGTGACTACATGCTTACAGACAGTTTTATAACTACTAGCAATAGCAACTAATTATGATGGCATATATTAACTCATCTAAGCCAAAAAACATAGTTATTAGGAAAGTTCTGGAAAAAGGTCCACATTGCAGAACTACTAAGAAAAATGGTTTTGCATAAAGGTACCGAAAGCAAAGGACGTCGCTGTTTAAGGGGTTTCTAGCGATTTCTGTGGGCTCATGAACTCACAAGGGAACGAGACACGTCCTCCTGACATAGCAAGGAGTATCGAAAGGCTTTTACTACTCACCGCATCTTTCTCCTCTCCTCCACTGTCGTGCTGCTCCATACTGCAGAGTTTCCTTTTGTTTTTATTCTCCGTCCTCTTCATACTGACTGTAGGAACAGTCCTATCGCGCGCCGGATTGCACCACTTCACCCGCTTTCCTGTGCAGTTTCCAGTATCCTCTCGGTAACTTCACTTAGCTGGCTAGAACAACGTGTCAGGTCGGCTGCTGTGGTTTTCAGGGACACCTCAGCGCCAAACTGAAATGCATGGCTTGCTGTTGCAGTTTGTTGACTTGCGATTCCACCTATGAGTTTGCTCCGGCCAGCCATTCCCGACTCAGAGCCCGGCTACACTTCTTGTGCTGACTCCACATCTGGAAAACCCGTTGTGACAAGCTGTCAATCAGCCTTCTTGTATGAGCAGCCACCGGTGTCTCCTTGAAAACAATAAAAGGGCAGTGTGCGCTTTTCACAGGGATAGCTTTATATTTCTAGAAAAAATGTATCCGCGCTGCGCTTTTTTGTGCCGTCTGTGGCAAAAGTTCATTCAACCCGATTTAAGCTAGCGTCTTGCCGCTGAAACACTAGCTGAGCGGCTAGTCTGGCTGCCTGATAACGTCTACCTGCCCAGAAAGACCGTGACACCCTGGCAGGTCTACCTTCCCTCTTAACGCTTCCAGATGATTCCCCAAGAGCTCCACGTCTTCCGTCTCTGTCTGGTGACTTCTTAGGCGACATACATCATGTCTCGGTGTTCGCCCATCCTCACATAAAGGCTGATCTCTGCGAACACTGAGTTAACCTCGCTGTTGAACTGCAACGACACGGTACAGCTCAGCTTGTTTCCTGGCTCTGACACGACTGCTGGGGTGTCAGGTTAGCAGGAATACAACATCCGGTCCATTAATACCAAAATAAAAGTATGCAAGAAAGGACAGGAATCCACATGTAATAAAAAAAATCCTATCTATCTAACTAACTACTAAACAAATAAATATATAAATAATAAAAATGCAATGACTATTAAAAATAAATATTAGTGATAACCTCTTTGTCTCTCCCAGAGTGTTCAATCTTTGACGTCTTTGTAGTCATAGAAAATAAACCAGATGGGGATAACATTCTCTTATTTTAAAACGATAATAATAATTATTAAATTGTATTTATTAATTTAACCAGGTTAGTCTCACTGAGATCAAAGATCCCAGTGGCACTAACCACTGATCTCTTTTACATAATAATTATAATAATTTGGGATTTTCCTGATGTGAGTGAAATTTGAACATTGACAATGCAATGTGATATCGGTAACTGTCGTGGTAAAAGAAGACAAATATACTCTACTGCCATTTCAAAAGAAGAAAATATATTTTTGTTTATCCTGAATGCAATATACTGAAGTCAATATGCCGTTATATTATGTCTGTCATTTTTTGCAATTTGCGCAAGTGCAAAAGGTTTTATTTTGAAATCCTAATCCCCTTCACACCTCTGGTTTCAAGCTCATCTACACCCTCCGCTTGCTAGACGATTTCTTGATTTTGGGAAAAAAAGATGATGACGATTATAAAAAAAATCCATGCAGACACATGAAAGAAATTAACTTTTTTTTTTTCTAAATTTTAAAAGCACACTCACAGACTCAGACACCTTATACTGATTCCTTTACATATACCGACTTGCTTTTGCATCCTCGTAGTGTTGGGGCTGTGAAACAATTCCACGAGGTTTGTTGTGGTTTGCTGCCACCTATTGATTAACAACTAAACTGCTTCGTATGTGTTTTCTGTGTGTATGTTTAACGAGACCGTGAAATAAACAGATCGGCTTATAAAGTGATGTATATTTTAATGTTTCATATATAGCTGCATATAACATTTACATATTAAGCAATATATATTCTATTATCTAATAATATGAATAATTAGTGTGTATTTTAGGCGCACGTGTTGTTTAATAAAATCCTCTTTTTTCCCAAAGAGGGAATTTTCTTGTCACTTTGACATCCTTGTATTTAAACCACATGGCAATACTTTGGTAAATTGTGCCATATATATGACAGTCAGATTTTCTTTTATCCCCACAGTAGCCTTATTCTATCTTTCACTGTTAAACTTCACCAGGTACACCTGTTCAGTGTTTCATTAATGCAAAGATCTAATTAGCCCGTCACACGTCAGCAACTCAGTCCATTTAGTCCTACAGTCATGGTCAAGACAACTTGCCGAAGTTCAGGTTGTGCAGCAGCAGAAGACCGCACCAGCTGTCACTCCTGTGCTGAGTAGGATAACATTGACTGGGCTGATGGATCTCAAACTCTGCTGCAGCATACAGATGCTTTCATTTAGTTTATCTGGCATAAACAAAATAAAAGCATGCCAGTATCCATCTTATTTGTACCAGTAGTTTAGACTGGTGGTGTAATGTGGGGGACATTTTCTTGGCACACTGTATGTCAGCATCATTTACTCTAAATGTCTGACTGAGTATTGTTGCTAACCATATCCATCCCTCTCTGATCATAGTGTACCCATCTTCTGATGGCTGCATTCAGAAGGGTAACACATTCAAATAACCTCAAACTGAATTTTAAATATGACATCGAGATCATGATAATTTCCCATTTTTCTTTTTTAATGCTCTGATATTTTGAGAAGCACTATGTGATTTTTGTCTTGAAAGGTTCTTTACTTTACTGACTTTACTATCACTTTCCTCAAATGACCTCCCAAGTCATTGCGTTTTAATCCATTCGAGACACGTTTGGGGTGTAGTAGAATTGGATATTTGCATTATGGATGTGTAGCTGGCCTGCAAATTTGTCAGCTTCCCATTCAGTTGACCACAACTCCATATTATGGTCAGTATAGACAACAAAGTCCAAAGAGTGTTTCCAGCGCCTTGTTGAATCTTTGTCACAAAGCCAATATGGAGTTCAGCTCAGTGTAACTAAAGAAATGGCCAGTGAGTTTACCCTTACTCTTTAGTATAAAATAATTCATAAATTTCAAAACATAACAGGAAACAACTCATATTTTCTGTGCATCATGTCTTCTTTAATTTAACATGTATGATCACTTTTTAATTTAAGAGTTTTAACATTTTAATCTTTAAATTTTTATGCCTCTGCTTTCATTTTGTATTTGCATTTCCTGCATTTTATAGCTTTTCTTGCTTATTGTTGATCTTATAATCAGCATTTAATATTGTTGATCTAAAAAGAGAAAACCTAGTGACACTTGAAAGTATTCTGTAATTTTGTGTAAGTCACATGTACATCTATTGTTATTCTGTTTTGTTTTTATTTTGAACAGCATTTGAGCGCTGATTAAACACGGTTTATGAAGTGTACAGTATAAAGAAACCCTCACTGTATTTGCAAGGCTGTGCTTAAGGTGAACAAAATAAAAAACATGTAGTATAACGTGAGAAAACAACAAACATGACAGATATTTTTGTCCCCTTTTATTGGAAAGATCTTCACCACAAAACATTTTAATAAAGAGAACAGTCTTAAAAATACAAATGGCCTTCACCCAAGACCATCTCTTCTCTCTGATGTACATACTACCGTTAATATGCACATATATGAAGGGTGGCTCCTAAAACAGCTCTAACACTAAAAGAAACAAAACAAACCAAGTTTGACCTTTGACCTCTAAGGGAAAACAGTCCAAAACTGTTTAATCTCTTTTAAACCTGATTTAACAACATGCAAGTTGTCTACTTTGGTTCATTTTATTGCTTCTTCACTACACTCCTACAGTATGGTGCTGTTTTATGTGATTTAGATAGCTAAAAATGCCTGGGCCAATAAAAGTGCTTCATACTGATTGTCACATGCATTCATCTAACAAATAATTTTCTTAAATCAGTTCAGTTTTAGAATTAAAACTGTTGACATGGCACTTTAACACTCAAGCTTAAAAACAAAAGCAAAGAAACACAGAGCTGTGTATTGCACAGTAACTCCAGAATTTCCATTTTTCAGTAAAAGTATTAGAGGGCAGTAAAGCCACAGTTCATGCACAAAACAAAACAGGTGACCTACAACACAGAAAAAAGTCACGAAAACAAACTAAACAATAATAATAATAATAAACACAAGAGGAGCCAATGAAATAAAATAAACTGTGAGTGTCACAAAACCTCTTCCAAAGGAAACGCTTCCAGAGACGTGTTTACTTTTTTTAAATATCGCTGTGACAAAACATTAAAACACACAGATACTGACAAATTTAGCTAAAAACAAAAAATAAACATAGAAAAAAAAGTTGTTGTTTTTAAAAAAAAAGAAAAAAGAAGAAGTTGACGAAGAAGAAAAAAAGAGATGCTATGGTTTTTTGTTTTTTTTAATCGTTACAAAAATGAACTGTCATCCTTTCTGGACCATTTATTAAAATGTATCTCACAAGTATCTTTTTTACAAGGTTTATCAAGCCTGCAAGTTGATGATGCCATTCCCCCATTTTAAAATATCTAAAGACAAAGGAAAGATTGTTTCCATGTCTAACAGAAAAAGTGAAGTTGGAGGGTGAACGGTGAATCAGTGACACTAAGCTGCTGTGTTACTTGAAAGTAAGAACATCATCTACCAGCTACACGACCGACTGCACGTCTTTTGATGGTTCTATGTTCTTTTTTCATTAGGATATTAGGACAAAACTAAAACATAACTACCTCTGGGGAGTATGGCTTTGTTTTATCACAACGCTCACACCACATGCATGTAATTCTACACACTGACTACAAACATGAGCCTCAACAGAGGCTAAGAGGAAGCACTTTGGATTTTGCTCTTTAACTCTCCCTTTTCCTGCTGGCATTAAACACATTTTTTGCATTTTAAAATCCCTGCTGAAGTAACAAAGGTGAAGCTCCTTCCTGATTTGTCACTTTTAAACTGTGAGTCAACGGCATCCTCCAGAAATTGCTGATTAATTTGCTGATAAATCTAAAAGTTTTCAAACTGTTTTAAATTTAGTTCTATTCTTATTTAAATTTGGTTTAATAGTAATAATGCAAAAAGACCCCATCAGACAGACGCTATGAATCATAAACAAGCTTCAGCCAAACTGAGACTTATCTCATATGAACAAAAAAACCTTTGAGTTCCCTCCAGGAAAATCCTGCAAACATCTGCACAAATTATACCATTGATACAAATAATAAAATAACACAGCCGGAGATGGCAGTGATGATGAACTCTGAGCTACAGGAAGACTTCCTGCAGGGGGAGCTGGTGGTGAGTCCATCCCTGGGCAGGAGAGGAGGAAGAGCTACAGGGTGAAGTTTGGGGCTTCATGACACTCCGACCAGGAGACATGTTGAGCTCACAGAAGCGTCCGCCTGAGATTTCACCTGAAAGACAGTTGACAAGAGATCCAGGAGGTTTCTATGGAGTGGATCTTATTTATGCACCACCTGTTAAATGTAAGTTGTATATAATTTAAAATGTTACACTTGTAAGTAACTTTACTATTTCTTTTTGTTAACACCGGTATCAGCTTCTGATTGCTGTTTATCAGTTTTCCTTTGTCCCCTCAAAATGCACATATGCAGAGCAAAACCAACCTATTGCTCAGCCAGTGATATTAGACATCTATATCAATTTGAGTTCATAAAAAATGTATGTGTATAAAAGTAAGTATAGCAGTAACCACATATAAAGCCCAATAATCTCTTTTGCAGTTAAAAATGTCTGTTTTAAAAATATATATTTTTGGTTCATCTCCACCAGACATTGCATTTCTTTGCACTTATTACTTGATAACAGAATCAAAAGAAATAGTAATCCTGGGTAAGGACTAGAGGCCACATTGTTAAACTGGTCAGTATGGTCTCACTGCACTATTTGCTTTTCTAGTAA